CAACTCGCACAGTGCAACTTGCGTAGAGCAACTTGCGCAGACCAACTTGCACCGACCAGTTTGCGCAGAGCACCTTGCCTGGTGCTGTCTCGCGCTTGCTTCACAAATGCTTCGTGTAGGGATGCAGCGTTGGGCCGACCTCGCTTGCGATGTTCTGCTTTCGGGCCAACCGTGGTCTAGTTGTTTTTGTTTTTCTTCGGTTTTTGAATATCTTTCGGACAGTTTAGCTTGTTTGCTCTTGGTTTCGTTCAAGTTGTTTGTTTTCGGTTGGTTTCGCTTGTTTGTAGGTTGTTTGATTGGATTTTGTTGGTCGTACCTGAGCCTGATGCAAGAAGGTGGTCGCTTTGTTTATGTCCATGACCTCTCCAATATGACATCATTCTACACGTAAGCTTCAAAATACAGATCAGAATCCAGAAGTCTCAGTCCTACGCTGCAAAAGCCGAGGCAGCCAGGACCTTTTGAGCCTGGCTGCCTGTCTGTTTGTGTCTCTCTGTTTGTCTGCCGTCGGTCCCGTCCTGTCTCTCCTGTCCTGTCTGTGCTGCCTGTCCGTCTGTCTGTCCTGTCTGTGCTGCCTGTCTGTCTGTCTTCGTGTGTGTGTGTGTGTCTTCATGTTTGTGTGTGTGTGTGTAATGAAGTGGTTTCGCGGGTGCTCATTCGCTCATTTTCTTGCAGTGCTTATGGCATAAGATCTAGATACCTTTTGTTTGAACAGTTGCCTTTCTTGGAAGGAAGATGTGCGAATCTTCATCCAAAAGTGCTGATTGAATGCCAGATGCGCATGATGGGCAGACAATTGGATTGGCATTATTTTGTTTCGCCTTGCCAGGGACGAATGTTCTACCTTGTGCCACGATCCTTAGAGCAACCTTGCGATTGCCGTGCGGTTGGGCTTTGCTTGCGTGGCCCAGGAAGTATTCCCTCACCAACCAGAAGTGGTTCTTTCTCTTCTTCATGTGCAACGCGGGCGCCTATTCAGGCGCGGCGAATGGTCCCCAAAACTAGGCCGATCTAGAGATGGCTCTCAGCGTCCGTTTGTGGGGAGCTGTCAAAGGAGATGAACCCTTGGATTTTCAGGAAAACCAAGCTGAAGCTTCAAGCAAGTCGGCAAGGACATTCAGCAGCCCAAACAGTTTCATGGCTTTGCCTACCATTTCTGGGCAGCGCATGTGTCTGTGTGTGTGCGTGCTTGCATGCTTGCGTGCTTGCGTGCTTGTGTGTGTGTGTGTGCCCTTGTGTCTTTTTTCCCCAACAGCTGAAAGCTGTGGGATCTTTCCCCAAGCAGCTTTCAGGGAGGGTGGGTTCAGGGCTGGGGATACCGCCTGAGATGGTTTTTCCAGATGCAGGCCAATTCAGTTCCAAATCTGTTTGGAGACAAGCCTGTTTAAGGCTTCCCTACTCAGAGGGTGCAGGCGGAAATAGTCCCCAATGGAAATGATGTCCACCGGGTCTTCAATGGATGTCTCCGTTGAAACGCGGTGGAAGCGGCCAGGACACTACTTCTACCTGCAGTTCCTGATGAGCGCAAACCCGTGCATGGCCCAGAATTGGCCCCACCTCACCAAAGGAAATTTTAGGGTTCATTTGCCCAGAGAAGCGAAATTCCAGGAAGCCTACAGTTTCATTTTGACACATGCCCACATAACATACTCTTAACACAGTTTGCAGACCAACACAGCAATGCCGTTGGCGGCAATTGTTGTCCTTTTGCCTATCTTGTTCCAAGCGCAGAACTCGCCAGTATCCTGCCCAAACAGCGACAAGCCATTTGCAGCAGCGGGGATGCCGTGAGACGAGCCGACTGTCCTGCTGTGGGGTTTACTCTCGAACCGAAAGAGGATCGGAGGATTTGGCCAACTCTTGCCCCACTTCCATGATTGGCTCATGCGCTCAAGAGGTGATATAGTGGAAGGCAAGGGAGGTGCGTGACCCACATCCATAGCGTTTGTTTTGGTTTTGGGCTCATCGCACCAACAACTTTTGGCTGCGAGGCCCAACCCGCCGCGTGATCCCAACCAGGCGAGGACGCGCGATGTGTCGAAACATCCACTTAAGCAGCTTTGCTCCACTTTGCCCAGCCCCTTTTGTGGGGATCCATTCCCTTCCCACCGAAGTGGCTCCACTGACTGCTTGCTTCGGCATTTGCGTCCCATATTTCAATCCCATGCATCCCCACAGCGCCGGGGAAAAAATCCTCTTGCGACACCCGGCCTGGTGGGTTCCTAACACATGTTTTTTTGGACCCCGGGTTTATAAACCTCCGGTTGATTTGGAAAGAGGGGAGGCCTCTTCATCACTTCAAAAAGCCCTTCTTTTGATGCGAGGATTCATTCTTCCGGGGTCAAACCCAGGAGTATGCAATCATTTCTACCATTGGTAGAAATAGGTTTGGCGGCCGCTCGTCGCTCAATGGGAAACTGCTCTGGAACTTAAGTCGAGTGTCATTTTTGTGGGCCAAGCTTGGGCTGTGGTATTCGTTCTGTGAAAGTACTTAGTTGGTTGGAACACCCCCTTGAAACAGGGGACATGTATGTGAATGATGCCCAAAGAGCCCAGCTTCCTTTTCGATTTACGTCCCCATGTCACGGACAACCTTTCTTCCCAACAGAAAGCATGACAAATTTGGGTGCCCTGGTTGTGTGAAATTGGGGTAGTCCCCTCCCACAAGTCCTTCAATGGACTTGTCAATTGCTCACATGGGTGTGGCTCAAAATTAAACCACCAGGGAACCGCAGGTTTTGGTCCATGTTTCCACTTACCAGGGCAACCCATGTTGGTACCGGTTTGTTGAGCCACAGCCACATCATGGTCTCCCCCAAAATGTGTGGCCAGAACGGAAGTCGTCGCTAATGCCAAACGCTGCGGGGCCAAGTCCAGGTGCGCCCGGAGAAGCACATGCACACCGTGGACGATGATTGAGGCGGGGGAGAATTTGGACACGGGAACCTAGTTGATTAGGGGATTCATAGGGTGGTTGGATACTCGGGGGGTTGGAGTTAACAATAAGAATCACAACTTGGTTTGATAAATCCCAAGTTGATTTAGATCGCATCTTGACTTAGGAAACGCCACCTATTCCGCAAGTCGAATTGATCCGAGGTCAAGATGAACAACATGCCACGCTTTTGAAAGTGACTCCATGAGTCTACGGAGCTTGAAATGCAGCCAAACAGCTTATCCAACTTGCTGGGCCCTCTTCCTTTCTTTCCGTTGTTTTGTCTTTTTATCCGACCTGTTTTTTTTTGTGGAAAGCATGCATGCAAGGTTTTTGGAATCCGAGTTATGCTGAGGTCGAGTTGAAACCAACATAGGTGTGCCCAGCTGGTTTCTCGACCGGGTTTCAATGGTGTCCTTTAATTGGTTGGGCCTTTTCTTTTTGCAAGCCCATAGAATCAATTCTTTCACCTTGATGTTTACCTTTTTAGTGTTTTCCAAGTGTTATGTCCGGGTCCTCTGGGCAAGCGAGTTTTTCATGGCGGTGCCTGGAGTCCTCGATTTTGAGCATCCAGCGAAATGGTCAAAGGCTGCTTCCCCAGTCTGTGGGCTTCGGACACCAAAAGTTTGGACGTGCGGGGCAAATACCTGCAGAACGGGCTGGGCTAGTTTGGAGCTGGGGCACCTTTTCTCAATTTTTTGTCGATTTCGGAAATCGGGAGGATCTAAAGTTCAACTCGCCAATCCAATTTAAACTACAGGTTCGGGATTACCGGTTGAAGAGCAAAATATGGAACCCCTGCCAAGTACGGTGAGAGCGAACTTGCTCGCCAGGTGAGCCGCTCGCGCATGTGAACAGTTCTCACATATCAGCTTCACAGCCAGCCTTAATTTCTGAAAAAAGTTGTCCAGACATGTTGCACTTGCGCTGCTTTGTTTGGTCTTCTCTTTAGATTGATGCCAACCATTGCTTGACGATTCCGATAAACGACTCGTGCCCGCGGAAAGAAATGCAGAAAGGGGCGCGCCGAAAGCCGCGGCCTGGGGCTGGGCGTTCCCATGTGCCATGCTGCTTGGTACTCTGGGGCCTTGCAGTTCGCACGTTGGGGTTCTCAGCATTGCTGCGGGGGGGGGGGGGGGGATTTGGTTGCGTCCAGTTACATGAGGGGGTTTCTTCCTGACTCCTCATAAGATGTAACTCGTGCGGTGTGGTTCCACAACTTGCTTGGTGAAGGTCATGGACATGTGTCAAACCATGATCCGCAAACATGCTAGGTTCCTATGGGAGTTTGTTTGCAATGGGCCCAAAAGGCTCTGATTCTGTTCCACACATTTCCGCTTTTTGCCCCTCTAGCTTTGGCTCGCAGCCAAACTAGTCCGGCATTCGCTCACGCAAAGGCGCGAAGCACCGGAGTGATCGGTTGGTCGCATTCGGTTGCAAACCAGATCGTTGCGCTTTGCCCATGGCTAGGCTCACCCCCTGAGTTCTCGACTTTCCTGCATATCATAGTGAAGGAGCACGTTGATCCGCGCCCCGCCAAGGATAAAGCTTCCTCGGGAAAACTCGGTGCCCGCCAAGTTTCAGAGGGAAGCGATTTGGTTGTTGCACCAGTGCGCCAACCTGCCCAACACTGGACACTGACAGCTGGCAAGCCAATGAAAAGCCTTGCTCGAAGGAAGCACGCGCTCAACACATGGCTAGAGCATCCTGCCAGGGTTACGCTTGACAGCGGCAATGAAGGCCGTGCTCGAAAGCCCCGGAAGGGCTGAAGTTGCAGCCCCCACAAAGCCGGATCTCATGCCGAAAATGCAAGGATCAAAGTTCAAAGGCCTCCACAAAATGAACCTTAAATGGACATTACGGGTCGAAGTTTACGAGCTTTGCATGAAAACAGGAACCTGCCAGATGATTCAGTCATTTGGAGTGCCACCAACTTGTGGTGCACCCCCATCAATTGTCTCATTTAAATGAACCTTGAACCCTGAAACCCCAAACCAAAAATTCCCCTACCCTAGGAACCAATCTTTTACAACAAAGATTGGGGGGGTGGGGGGGGGCTGCCGCTTTTCGGCGGCATATCCCCTCGGGGCCAACGTCAGGCCATGCTGGCGCCTCTCCGGCTCAGGGCCCTGGCCCAGCGCGGCGTCCGCTGCTGCGGGCGGGGGGGCCCAAGATTTTGACGCGCGAAACCAAAGGTCCCCAACCCAAAAAAAGATGGTGGTTCCCCCCCCCTTGAAGAGAAAACAACCAAAAGCCTGGGAGGAATTGCGAAAGGATTCCGTGCCAACCGGATTTTTGTTGGTTGGGGCAGCTCCCAAGCTGAAGCCAGTTGCGCGTTAAGCCCAGCAGGCCCGGCTCGTGTTGCGACATACCCCAGCAGTTTGGTATCCGTCGGAGAAACTGGTCAAGCAAGTTGTAGCGCTTCTCGCATTCTGCTTGGTGGCGCCTTCTTATCCATGTGAAGCATACACGTGAACCTATACCTGTATATATATATATATGTATATATACATACATATATATATATATATATATATATATAAATGTATGTATATATATATATACATGTTTTACATGGGGGGCACCGCAACTCGCCGAGCCGCGGATTGGAGCGCCCCGCTTCATGCTGAGGACCTCGCTGAGGATCCCCAATGCGCCGCCCAACTCCAGCGAGGTCTTTCACACACTGCAGATGTACCCGAGCCACGGCCGGTTCGGAGCATTGGGTTGCTTTGGTTCCTTGGGTTGCAGAGACATCCCACATTGCGTGTGCGTGTCTGACAGGTTCAACCGTTTTGCGGGGCAGTCTGTGGGATGATTCTCTGAAGTGAGCCCTTCAGCTGCGGCTCAGGAAGTATTCCCTCACCAACCAGAAGTGGTTCTTCCTGTTCTTCATGTGCAACGCGGGCGCCTACTCAGGAGAGGGGCGCGACCACATTTGTGACTGGCGATATGGGAACCCGAAGTCGCAGTAAACAGACGCATGACTTGCTAGGCGATGTGGAGGGAGCATGTTGCATGGGAAGCCAGAGCCATAGAAAACCCGACCTGTATCCTGTTGCCGGTTGTTTGGAGGCGTCTTCTGAGAGTCAAGCATCAAAATAGGTGCAGGTGCCTTCTTTAGCAAAATGGCCACTGGCCCTGTTCACCTGGCGCGAGGACACTACTTCTACCTGCAGTTCCTGATGAGCGCCAACCCGTGCGAAGCTCAAAAAGCAACGAAAAACATTCGGCGGCACCTCACCCTCGACCACATCGTGCCACATGCGTCAAGGGCTGGGTGAAGCATGTGTCCATTGAGACCAACCAGGGATGCGTGTCACCAAAGCACCCTTTTAGGGGTCAACCCTTCAAACATGAAACTGTAGACTTTCTCATGGGAACGCCTGAGGCCCAATCCGCCGCGAGACCCCAATCAGGCTGGCCAAATCAAGTCGAGTGCGGCCTGATTTCTTGGGCTTCAGCCAGGGTTGTTCCGACCACACCAAGCCTTTGGATAGAACAATTCGGATTCCAACCCCACCGACCTCTTTGGCTCCTAAAAAAGTTGCCGGGCACCCCGTCATGGCCCAAAGCAGACCTTTTTGGCTTGTTTGACTCTCGACTCGAAGCTTGCAGTTGTCCAGTGAGCTCCCGTCTTCCCTTTGGCCCACCGGCATTGGGCCATTGAGTTCTTAGAATAGCCTCAGCTTGAGGGAACCAACGGCATGTTTGCAATCAGGTTTCACCGCCACCTCACCCAGCGACCCGCGCGCTTCTCTCTGTTTTTGCGCCCGCGTGCAGGTGCGGCCAGAGAAGCACATGCACACGGTGGATGACGATTAAACCGCCGCACGGATGCATCAAATGAAAATGGCGGGGGGACCCTGTTTTTCCAACGGGTCAAGCAAACACAGGGGCATGAAGAAAACCACCGAATGGAAGCCGCTCCATTTGTGAAAGTTCACCATTTTCGAGACAGAACTACAGGGTCCCCGAAAGGGTGCTGCAGATGATTCCAATCTTCTGTCACAACTGTAGCTGGAGCGATGGCAGACATCGAGTCTTGGCAAAAGCATTTGCATGGGAACAGCTTGAGAAAAGTCAGGCACACTCCGCAAAGTCTTTGTCTCCCAAGAATCGTCGAGTCCAAACCAAGTTGGAAGTCCAACGACATGGGGATGATTGCTGTTTTTCGGTATTGCCAGGACACACAGGAATGGGGTGATTCACGCGGCCCCATGCTTTTGTTTCTTTTTCTTGAGGCGTGGCGATTTGAACAAATGCGACAAGAGCACGTGGTTCGTCCCTCTTTCCGGTGCCAGGCTCGTGGAAGCGGACTCGAGGATTCAGGACCCTGGGTACATGTGCCCCAGAATGAACCGGAATGAACCTGGGAATTCTACTGGGTTCCACTGCAAGTGCCCCAGAGTACATGTGTGCCCTGTGAACATCAATGCAGATCGCAGACCTCATGGCCCAATTCTGCCGCAGGGCCGATCCCTTGGTTCCCTTGGAGTCGACATCTTATGATCCGGCTCTCAGGACCCGGATGGCTCCGACCCGACGACATGCCGCGGAAAAAGAGTCGTCGCCGGGCGGCCGCGGAGTGTGCAGGAAGCTGACTGGGCGCAGAGATCCTTTGGAATTCATGGCTCGTGGGAGCTTAGGATCAGCATTTCGGAGCCCAAGTTGAGCAAAGAAGTAAAAAGAAGCTGAAGTTGTGCAGGCATGTTTGTTCAGTTTGTTTGGTGGTTGTTTCATGTTGTTTCTCTGCAAATACCTCTCGCCCAGCATTCAGTTTCCAGTGTAGCAGTTGCAACCAAGGTAACCGCCCCTCAAAAACAAACGGATAATGTTTGGCTACTTGCCGCTCGTGTGCAAGGATACAGACTTTCACTTCCGCGGGTGACGCTGAAGCGGGAGATGCGGGTTGTCTCCGACCGGGGTACCCCCAAAATGGTCAGCGTATGTTTGACGTGGGTCACCCTGACAGTGTAGGGTCGCCATCAACTGCAGGACTTGCTCACATACCAAGCATGGCAGCCGATAATATTGCAGGGCTCCCTACATTCCCTCTTTGGATTGCAACATCACCGTTTGAGCCAAAGTTGAAATGGGTTGCTCTTAGAAGAGTCGGAGTAAGTATAGGGAACCCCATGGCCGGCCGAAAGCCCCAGTTTTGGATTTGCTTGGGGAAATCAAGTCAAATTGTGTGACCTCGAGCATCGCCCGCAGCATCGGCAGATTGCCAAAGGCAGTTTTTGCCCTTTGCTTCGCCCGGCGCAGAAGATGCATCTCGGCTTCCGCATTTGTTTTTTTTCCCGGGCCAAACTGATTCCAGCATATCTACACCTGACCCAACAAACTCGATCTGGCCAACTGTTTCTCAGATCTTGCCCTCACTTGCTTCAGTTCAGCATTCAAACATCCTTGCAGCTTCTTGCACGGCTCCCAATACTACTCATGCATGTTTGTTTTTTTTTTGCCATGTGTGTGTGTGTGTGTGTGTTTTTCCCTTTGCTCCCTTGTTCCATGTGTTTGTGATGTGTCCCACGTGTTCCAATGTTCTTTCAAATGTTTTCCCATTTTCCTTTGCATGTTTCCTTGGTGCCTCCCTCGTGCGTCTTCTTGCGTCTTGCGCGTGTCGCGCAAGCCCGCGATTTCCGCGCCATGGCCGAACGGCCCATGACGACCGGGGAGGCGCTCATGGCCAAGGCGGGAGACATACGGGATTTGTTCACTATACGGGTATGCATTTGTTTTTGGAGGGAGCCCGCTTTTAAGTGGGTGACAGGGAAACAAAACAGATTTTCACCAATTTTGGAGGATCCCCCCCCAGTTTGACACATACCCATATCGATTCAGAACCAGAGCAACGACCATTGCAACCGGTTTCATGACTAGTAGTGACTCATAGCACTTTGCTCTTCGATGGAGCCTGTCCACTTCACGTTTGTTGCTGGACGAGTATCATGGAATAGTTTCTTGGAGGGATGCTGTGCTTCCCTTAGTGGTCTCGAGAAAATGCCTCATTCCCCGCCAAAGTACAGGAAGACTGGTTCGATCTTGGCTTTGTCAACCTCCACTGCTCTGAGCCGCCTGCGTCAGTTGAGCAGATTGGGAGTCGGGACAAGCCAAGATCCAACCAAGGGCACAATTTTTAGATCATTCTTACAGGAGGCAAAAAATAAATGACGGCAGGATGAAGCACCCCACACACCACAAACCCAGGTCACTCTTGAGTCCATAGCATAAGATCCAGAGACACATTGTTTTGTTGGTTGGCCGAGGTTAACCATGAATTCCCTCAACAAGGGCAGAAGTAGCAGCAGAAGAGCTTCCTTTTTCTAGCTGTGCCCTCTCGCCGGAAATCCTTTGAATAGTTACTGTTGAAAACCTGCTCATTATTGCCCAACTTGGGTTTTGGTGTCAGCATTGAGCTGCTGCCTTTAACCCTGGACGACCATCCTGTCCGTGATCACTCAGGTGGGGCGCCAAAGAAAGGAATCCGGGGTTCGGCCAGGCGCTCATGAGACGGACTGCCTGGTGACATCTTTGGTTGCCTTTGTCAGAAGCGAAGGGATGTTCAGCATGTTGCTTGTTCCCTCCGCAAAGTTGGTTTTCCATCCACCGATTCGCGGATCAATGCAAAGGGAAAGGTGTGGAAATGTGACAACAGGACTTGGGTGCTTACCAAGAATTTGTTTGGGGTGGTTGTCCTTTTGGAATGAACCAGACAGGGTCTCGAGTTAAATCAAATGCCCACTCTCTCCACGTTCCAGTATTGGTTGGCAGACCCAGGCTGGTATATCAGGCTTTCCTCTGTGATATTGTGCGGGGAAAAGCGCAAGCATAGCCACACAGAGAAGGTTCTTGAGTTTGCTGGTTAGCGTGGATCATCGGCATATGTTCTTCTGAATCCAAGTGCGGTGTTTTGGTGTTTTCGACTCTCTCTTCTTTTCTGGGGGGGGGGGTTGGTTGGTTGGTCGGTTCGTTTGAATTTCCTAAGCAGACCTGAGACCTTGATTTGCACCAAGGCCCGAGGTGACGGCACCGGATGTCATGCCGCCCCTGCCCCCCATGCCGCTGGAGCGCCCAGTTAGATGCGAGCGCCCAAAAACATCGGCCAATTTGATCGGGGGCCACTAAGTAACTGGCAGCATCGCAGTTTGTCATCGCGATTTTGAGTTCGTGTTTGTTTTCTGTCTGTTGATCTTTCTTTGGTTCTGTTATCATTTTGGCCTGCAAGAATCGGTCAGTTTCCAAACAACGAGAATGGTCGGGATGCTTTGCAGGCCCAACAGCCAGGAGCTGGCGTCAACAGCTGTTTGGAATATGTTTCCCCGTTTATAAGTGGGGGTCTGGGCCGTGTTCGCGAGGAGTTGTTCCAGAGTTCCCGTTCGCAACCGTCCGCGGTGAGGCAACAAGCGCGTGCCACTGGGATTGGTGGTGGAAGCGTGTTTTTGATGGATCGGCAAGTGCTGTTTTTATTGGTTTGGCAGGCCCGGTGTTTGCGTTTGCCGGGCCAGTGTGATTTGCGCTTCAGGCATAGTCGTTTTGAGGTGTCTTGCCTGGCAGGCCCGTGCAAGCGCTTGCGCGAGTGTAACTTTCGTTGGCCCTGCTGCACAATCATTTTGGCGAGCTTGAAATGCGTCAAAATTGGTCGAAATCATTCTGGCGCCACAGTCCCGTGCTAGCTTTGAAAGATGGATTTCATGCCAGACGCAGCAGTTTGGAAGATTCTGAGTTTGTGGCACTTTCTTTGCGTGACAGGCGCAGCTCTTCCATTTCGTGCCCGGCGCATCACTTTGAAGCTTTTCATGCAAATTTCGTAGCGGGCGCGGTAATTTCGAGCTTGGGCGCAGATTTCGCGGCAGATAGGTCAAATTGCTGTCGCTGTGGGGCGGTGCACACTTTGAGAACGCAATGTGAACCCTCTGCGCACTTTGGGTGGGTCGAGTCGCTCTTGTTGTGGCGCGGCGCGCGTTCTGCGAGCGCAAGGTGACCACACTCTACGCACTTTGGCTGGGTCGAATCGCTCCCGCTGTGGCGCGGCGCGCATGTTGAAACAAACCAAAGCGAACCCTTTGCGCACTTTAGTGCGTGAGTGAGTGAGTGAGTGAGTGAGTGAGTGAGTGAGTGAGTGCGTGCGTGCGTGCGTGCGTGCGTGCGTGCGTGTGAGTGGGACTGACTGACTGTGGGTAATTGAGCGAGTGAGTGAGAGCGCAGCGCGGCGTGCGTCGTGCTTGCGTGCGTGCGTGCGTGCGTAATCGTGTAGTGAGTGAGTGAGTGGTGGAGTGAGTGAGGGTGTGGTGGTGTGCGTGTGTGAGTGTGGGTGGTGGGCAGGCGAGCGGCGAGCGCGCGCGAGCTGAGTGAGTGAGGAGGAGTGAGGAGAGTGAGTGAGGATGGGTGAGAGGGAGGAGGGAGGGAGGAGGAGGAGGAGGGAGGAGGAGGAGAGGGAGGAGGGAGGGAGGGAGGGAGGGAGGGAGGGAGTAGAGAAGAGAAAGAGAGAGAGAGAGAGAGAGAGAGAGAGAGAGAGAGAGAGAGAGCTGAGGTGAGAGAGAGAGAGGGAGAGAGAAGAGACCGGAGTGAGTGAGGCGAGTGAGGCGGGTGAGCTGACGCGGGGTGAAGTGAGGCGAGGCGGGGCGAGGCGAGGTGAGTCGCATGTGTGTGTGTGTGTGCGGGTGAGTGAATGAGTGACTGAGTGCGAGTGTGAGCGCGAGCGCGAGTCTGAGATTGGGTGCGAAGAGTGTGTGTGCGATAGCGGGAGAAAAAATGAGTGAGACTCAGAGTGAGTAAGTCATTGAGCGAGCGAGTGACTGAGTGACTGAGTGACTGAGAGTGGATGAATGAGTAAGTGAGTGAGTGCGTGCGTGCCTGCGTGCCTGCGTGCCTTGCGCGCGTGCGTGCGTGCGTGCGTGTGTTCGTTACTGCGCGTGCGTGCGTGCGTGCGTGCGTGCGTGCGTGCGTGCGTGCGTGCGTGCGTGCGTGCGTGCGTGCGTGCGTGCGTGCGTGCGTGCGTGCGTGCGTGCGTGCGAGCGCGGGAGCGCGATCGGGTGAGCGCGCGAGTGCGTGCTTGAGCGCGTGAGTGCGTGAGCGCATGAGTGCGTGAGTGCGTGAGTGCGTGGGTGAGCGAATGAGGGAGTGAGTGAGTGAGTGAGTGAGTGAGTGAGTGAGTGAGTGCGGTGCGGTGCGGTGCGGTGCGGTGCGGTGCGGTGCGGTGCGGTGCGGTGAGGTGAGGTGAGGTGTGGTGCGGTGAGGTGAGGTGAGGTGAGGTGAGGTGAGGTGAGGTGAGGTGAGGTGAGGTGAGGTGTGAGACTGGGTCATCGAAGTTCAAGTTCCAGCCAAAAAGGTGAAGGTGAGATTGCGTTCGGGTCCGCGGCTTCTTTCAGGTTTTTTCCGTCCATGGTCAAGAAAGAGAAAAAGGATGTGTCTATGAACATCAACCTTGCAGATGGAGAAAGGTCCGAAACATGGTGACGGACTGGCTTGTCTCGTGAGGAGTCTAAGCTTTGCTTAGGCCAGTGAAAGAGCCTGGCTGCACGCCCGGCCTCTACCAGGCACGGCGGTGGATCTCAGCCAATGGGCTTGACAGACGGGCGCACGTGGAAGGCACAGCACACCTGAAAAAATACCCG